AGGAGAAAATGAAAGTATCTTTAGTTTGCTTTCTATTACAAACTTCAAGAAGTCTTAGAAAATGGTCAAGAAACAGGAAAGTATTGTTATATTTATTTTGTGGAAGGCCAAAATAGTTCCTGAATACTCACAGTCACAAAACCTGAGTTTCAGAGCCGGTCCTTAAAACTCTCTCTTATCTCTACATAAACCTGCTTGGGGAATAGTTTAGCTATGAAACATTAATTTGATGGGAGAACAAAAGGGAAAACTAAAAAAGTCAAAGAACTTACCATAAATTGAGAAATATGCTTAATGTTTGTGATGTATCAATATGAACACCTCTTTCTATTAGAAGTGTTCTGCCTGTGAATCCCCAGTACAAGGAATGATCACAGAGCACTCAAGACCATAGAAACTCACAGAAATCAATGGTCTCATTAAAAAGTGTCCCATACAAAGAGTCTCACTGAATGTGATTTTTATACTCAGACAGAACTGCTGCAGGGCATAAATGTTTTCCAAACCAGGCTCTAGGTTAAGTGGCTCCCCCAGGATGCATACAGCTGGGGGGCCATAACCACAAAAAAGGAAAAGCCACTTTTATCCCTTCCAAAGTCATAGCCATAGCTCTGAGAGGGAACTCCCAAAGTGGTGCAGCATATTTCGGAAAAGAAAAGCATACTCCTATTAAATTTCCAGAGAAAATGGCTTTAAAAGCAGGAAGAAGATTGTGGCAAAAGAGAGTCGAGTCCCGAGAAAATCTCATTTCTTGGGTGACACTGAAGCTCAGTTTGATTTCCCTGCCCATTTGAGGCCACATTCAGCAGCATTGGTTTGCTGAAGCAAAGATGATCCTAGAGCATCTACCCTGTATAGACACATGTCAACAGAAGGTGTCCTAAGGAAGAAAACAGATCTTTCCCCTCACCATCCTGATTCATAGTCATGCCATAAAAATCAAGTATTTGCTCCCTCACATTTTCTCTCTTTAAAATGTGAGTAACTTGCAAACTTAAGAAATAGATAGCTATTATAAATATGGTCAAATGCTAGACCAATTATGTGTATTCTTTCTGCATAGCTGATTCCCCAGAAAAGATGACATAATTAGGTCGTAGATATTACATTAGCAGATACTAAAATAATAGGGTTTTTTTCACTCTGAAAAAATGTTAATGCTGTCTATGACTGGGGTTAAGTCTTGTGAAAAACCACAGCATGATAGCATTACCATTTTCAGATGGTTGGTGCTCTTCAAGAAATACCCACTGTCACCTCTTGCCATCAAACACCTTTATGCTGCCAAGTTCCTGTGTCTGTAAAAATTAATAAAATAAATGTAGCGAGTTCACTGGCTTCAAACATAACAAAGTACTGTGCTGAGTGGAATAGTGCTAGATAAGTTACCAAAAAGCAGTAGAAGATTACACCTTGACAGAAGTTAAAATTGAAAGGGAAACTTGTTCTGCCTGCTTTCATGAAAGGACTTGATGTCTACTAATGATTGTTTTCATCACTTGCATGTGTTCAATTTCCCAGGGAAGACCTTTACTGCCTGGTAAGGAAAAAAATAACTCTTTCTTAGCATTTAATTCCTTCTGTTATGAAATAAGTCATACCAAATCCCAATTGCCTTTTCTATCTCCAAAATCCATGATAACATGAAATACAGAATATTTCTTTGGAAAAAAATTTCTCAGTTGGTTACCTGTGTCAGCTGATACTGCTCAACCTTCCTACTGTCACCTCTTAGGATCAAGACACCATGTAGCTTTAACCTTAATATATGGTTTTCTCTTTTTTGGAGAAAACCAGTAAAGAAAAGGGAAAAATTAAAAGTTTCAACTCTTTCAAACAAGATGCAGAAGGAGGAACAGCTTGAATGTGAGAAGCCATGAAACTACTGCTGAGATGTGCAACAAGGAAGAAAGCTTCAGGCCTTTTCCCCTGTCACTATAGAATCCTGGAATGGGTTGGGTTCAAAGAGACCTGAAAGATCAACCTGTTCCACCCCCCTGCCACAGGCAGGGACACTTTCCACTAGATCAGGATGCGCCAAGCTCCACCCAATCTGACCTCAAACATTTCCAAGGCTGAGGTACTCACAAGTTCTTTGAACAACACGTTCCAGTGTTGCACCACTTTCACCATAAAAAAATTCTTATTTATTCCTTATCAGAATCTGCCCAGTATCAGCTTCTGCTCATGTATGTTGGCCTAAGTGACCCTGACCTCCCCTTTCTCCACTTTGCAGCATTGTGTCCTCCTAGACACTTCCTTACTTTTAGCTGGTTCTGCAGTCCTTTCTCTGAGTAAAAATTGCCTCTTTACACACAGAAATTTAATAAAAAGAAATAGCCAAGAAGGGAACTTGGCTAAATTCTGCAGTCTCTTTTGCCCATCTATCCCCCCCTAATCTCTGCACTTTCCTATAGCATTCAGTATAGAAAATAACATCTACTTTCTTTTCTCTTTTTGAACTGATCAATGATGGTGTCTTCTGACTATTTCCAATGGAGAAGACTGGGCCATGCCCCAGGGAGGGCGGAAGAGTTCCCAAATATCCAGAATCCACACTCAGTCAGAGCTTTGCCATACCCATTTTGTTATTTTATATAACCCCATATGTTTAAGTTTGGTATACAGTAAGAGTTGCAGGTGTGTGTCTGAGCACAGCCCCAAACATCCAGCCAAGCTGGAACCACCCTGCAGTTCAGCTGAAGTTCAGAAAACCTAAGTCAAAAAGAGAAAGGAAGCATCACTCTGGCTCAGCTGCTGCTGAGCCTTCTCAGCAAACAATTTCAGCATTTTATGCACCAACAGTCAATAGCAAAACAAATGGCCTTGAGCTAAGGATCATTTCTTCCTGCTGCTCTGTGGCTGCCGGGAGAACTGAGCACTGCTTCCATTTGTTCTCACCCTTGTTTCAGAAATGTTCAGGACTTTTCTAGCAGTGCCATCACTTCATGCAGATCAGGCAGGGAGTACTCAAATCACTGCATGAGCCATCTCCCCCAAAAACCACAGATGTTTGTGACCCTGTTCACAGGGGTCCAAGGATGAGGGAAGAGACAAGGATCTGACTCCATGTTTCAGAAGGCTGATTTATTATTTTATTATATATTATATTAAAACTAAAAGAATAGAAGAAAAATTTCATCAGAAGGCGAGCTAAGAATAGAAAAAGAAGGAATGATAACAAAAGCTTGTGTCTTCGATAGAGAGTCTGAGCCAGCTGATTGTGATTGGTCGTTAATTAGAAACAACTCTATGAGACCAATCACAGATGCACCTGTTGCATTCCACAGCAGCAGATAATCATTGTTTACATTTTGTTCCTGAGGCCTCTCACCTTCTCAGGAGGAAAAATCCTAAGAAAATGATTTTTCAGAACATATCATGGCTACAGATGTTCTTCTCTGCACATGTGGCTCTGAATCCCCTATTGGCAGAACAGACTTCAATCTACCCTCCTGTTTCAAAATCTGCTATGGTGAGAAAGAAATAAACACTACTGCCCAGTTCTCTTAACTGTTGCTGTGCTCTGTGAGGATCCTGGTGCTTTTCAAAGGCTTCCTCCAGCTACATCTCTCCCTAAGGAAGACCTGTCTTCTGGACCCCATGGAAGTCAAGGTGTGAGATAACAGAGTTCTATAGAAGTTTGAGCTTCCACCATTTTATACACAATCTCCAGGGAAGGATCTGCTACAGATATCAACAGCATTTTCAGTATTGTAGTCGCACACTTGCAAAAGTCTCTTTTGTGGGGATTCACCTGTGGGGTGAGTTTCCTGCTGCTCCAACCAAAAAAACAAAACAAACAAAACAAACATAACAAACAAAACAAAAACCACACCTCTCCCCAGCCCCCCCAAAAAGAACATGCTAGAAAAACTCTGAAATTCCAGACAGGGTTAAAAAAGGATACTCCTAAGTGATAACAGCCATCTCACCTTCCTCTGCAGCTGGTGGAATCCAGTAGGAATTCGGGATACCCAAAATGGCAAGCAGACATAAGGAGACTTTCTGGGTTGTAATAGAACAAGCTTAAGATTCAAAACAGACCACATGGATTGGATTCCAAAATTGAGATGGCAAAACTTCACCAGTCTTGGGTGAAACAAACATCCAGAACCCAGATGGCAAAATTTCACGAGTCTTGGGTTAATCAAAGACGGCAAGTACTACATTAAACAACAAACAAAAACCAACCAACCAACCAAGCAAAACTAAAAGAAAACCACAACAAAACCCGAAAAAACCCAACACAAACAGCAAATTTTTGTGTTCCTTAAGACAAAAAACAACGCCTGCTTCTTCAGCAGCACCAGAACAGGTTCAAAGGCAAAGTACACTCCAGTAAGTCCAATTTAATGAAAATATACAGAATGTGTAAATGCATATGTGTGCATTGAAGGTAAACTTTGAATCAATAAATTTATTTTAAAAAAATAAGCATCTGATACCATTGTAAACAGTCCTCTGAAACATTAATCAAGAGGAAAAAGACCCCATCCATTTTCCAAGTATCCTGAGAAGACATGGGTTATACCTAAATGTGTTTTACTGAACTACCAGTAAAACTGGTAGTTTTACTCTGCTCTCAGAAAACTGTGGTGTCAAATGATTAGGAACCATGGGATGCAATTAATGGTAAAAATAATAATTGGGATGAAATTCAGAGAAAATATCTGCACTTCAAAACGTAATAAAATTTTTCTCTGGTATAATGAGAACACTTCTAATGAGTTAGGGATGAAAATACAAAACATCAGAAAACATCATCTAACAAAACCCTCTTGCAAAATTTAATTGAAGTCACCACATTTAAACATCAAACAAAGAAAATGTATAATAAATCTTAGTACACTAGGGATCCAAGTAATGAACTAAATTCTTGGTATTTATCTTCTGGAAAATTATCTTTAACAGCACTTGTGCAGCAGAAAGAAATCATTAAACTCCAAGACTTTCTGGCTTTTACATTCTACTTTTTTTTGTATTAGTAAAGCATGGCAATTATACCTTTACACACTCTTAAGGGTATCTTTTTAAGATACTATTTGTCTCAACTTTTGGTTGCAGTAGGCAACAACATATGGATGGACACATGCAATTACTGTTGTCCAGGTAAGGACAGGGGCAACTTGCAAGTTATTGCAGATAAAAAATTAACTTCCCTTCACCCACCCTTTTTTTCTTTAAGGAAACCTTTAAAGGGAGCTGAAACATTTTGTGTATACCTGTGCCTATACTTACCTATGATTTATGTCACAGAATTCAAATTAATTACCCAAGATATTTTTGTAAGAGGCACAAAACAAGTCATGTAAAAATACACAGTTTATTATGTACATTTAGAGGTTCAACCTAATTTAAACTGATACATGTTTTCCTTCTTCAGTTTCATCTTTTGTCTCAAGACATTGCTCTGATGTTTCCAAATATTCTTCTTCAGTGACCTGCAGAAAGATATCAATTTTGTTACATTTTTAAAAATTATTTCACTCTCCTTGATCCTGAAAATCCTTCCCTCATACTGTCACTGTAACAAGGAAGGACAATCTACAAAGACTATTATCTCCAAAATTAAGCAACCTGAAGGACAAGAATATTCAAACTAAGTGCAAGGAAGATGCCATGGGGCAGGCTCAGAACATATCCATGGCTAACAGGTTTCACAAGACATGAAGTGCTTTTTTTCCTGTCTCTTGCCAAACAAGTAAGTAAAATTATTGATTGAAATGCTCTACAACAGCTGCTCTTTAATTCTTACAAAGATTTCCTATGTTTAAATATGTCTTGATAGTGGTTTTTTGGTTATATGTGGGTTATAATATCTTATAGTTCCATTTACCTTGAAGTATTTTTTAATTGGACAAATCATATCAATCAAATAGTATATGTTTTTTAAATGGCACAATGCTTTTTAATAACAGACCTCAGAAACAGTGCTACCACATCCACTAATAAATAAGCAGTTAGATTTCTGATTTCCATTCACCTGTGAATATTTCCATTCCTAAAGATCTGTTCTTGAGTATACTACCTACCTCTAATCATTCAAAGTGTCCTCTATCAGAGCATACCTTTGTATTTGGTAACCTTTACTTCACCTCTGGTGACACTTACCAGCCTCTTTGATCTTTCCAGCAGCTTGTGCCACACAGTGTGGTGAGCCTGTGTGAAATGCCATTAAGTGATGTTAGCAGAGGTAAAAAATAATCTAATCATAGAATAGATTTGACAAAGGTACAGAAATGACAGCACAAAAGCATAATAATGCCCAGTTCAAATGTTTTGTTTTGACAACTTAAAATTTTGGTGTCCAATTTGCCCATATCCATGTGGGGGACTTGAATAAATGTCTGCCCATCACATGCCCCATCCCTGAAGTGTTCATGGCCAGGTTGAATGGAGCTCTGAGCAACCCAGTCCATGGAAGGGGAATTGGAACTGTATGAACCTTAAGGTCCCTTCTAACCCAAACCATTTTATGGTTCTATGATTCACCCACTGTGTGGAATCCTTGAGGAATTAATTGGCAAAAAAGGGAATTATGCTTAGGAAGGGAACACAGAGATCAGCTAAGAAAGTCTTGAAAACTTCCCCAACTAAGACAATAGTACATGTGCTAGAAAACAAGGTCAAAATCATCTAAGTCAACACAAATGGGAATAATGACTCCTGCCTCCACCTTCAGTTCTTTGTTTAAGCTCATTAGAGCTTGGACATTTTTTGTTGTTGCTACTTTTTACTTTGGTGTCATGAAATTCTTCTGCTCTTTTAAGCACTGTGAGTAGCCTAGATGTCAGAAGACTGGCATGCACAACTTAGGCAAGCGGAATGAAATATCCATGCAGGAATTATAAAACTGAAACAACACCCTCCATACTGAAAAATAACATCATGGGCCCTCTCATGCAAACTTTTCTAGTTCTGACTGCACATCCACAACTGTTTCAGGAAAATGAACCCCAAATATCCAACACAGTAACCATCAGGGTGACTTTCTACGGCTCTCAACTCCCTTTAGCTACCAACACAGCACCTAACAAAAATGGAAACACAGGTAAAATGCTCTAATTTAAAGAAGGAAAACCTGGAAAACCTGTGCAAAATGGATCACTTACCTTCAAATGTATTGGCAAGGACACACCCTGGAATCTCCTTATCAATTCAGATTGGTCAGTCTGAAGATTATGGGCTGCTGTTATATCATACTGGAAACAGAAACTTGTCCTTGGAATATGAGGACCTTCACTGACATCTACAAAGTCACCAAACCTGGGGGGACAAAAAAACCCCAGTTTACATGCCAAATATATTTGGAGCAAAATACAAGGAGATTAGGTTTTATTTTTGATTAGCAAATTCCAATCAACAGAAAGAAAATCCACACAAATCCCAAACCAAATCTAAACAAACCTCCAGGTCAGCACTTTGAAGTTTCCTAAACCAAAAGTACAAGTCCCACAATTTCCTTAAATGAACTTAGAAAATTTAAACCTCAAGTCTAGGAAAGGATGTTAGGTTTAAAAAGTCTTTGATGCCATGTTGGCTCTAAAACTGGGATAACTGTCATTCACCAGAAAAAGATTTGTCTCCAAGATCACCTGTTTTCCACAATACAGTGTTTACAACCTGCACAGTTATTTCCCTTTACAGTTCTTGGAAAACTGCAAATCAATTAAGAGAAGAGAGACAGCATAGTACAACAAAGAAATACTGAGAATGAACCTCTCTCAGAAAGCAATAGCTAAGCCCATCTTCCCCTTTATTGAGCAAATCAGAGTGGGAGGAAGGAAAGAATGACACAACATTGTTCTAAAATTTCAAGAACCACCACTGCAAAGACATCTGTTCCTTTAGATAGATGATGCTCCTTAAGATAGAACAAAAACAAATTAGGAACTCTTTACACATCTACACAACTGAATATCCTACAATAGCCTAAGACAGAGAATGGCCAGAGATACAGACAATTATCCTGCCTCCAGACTAAGAACTCTGTATCTTACACTGCATCCCACAGGATGCTGTTCTATTCTCATCTCCACCACTACAAAATAGTCAATTGCAAGTTAGGAAGATCTTGACAACTTTGAAAGAAAAATCCATTATACAATGCTAACTCTTGTTTTCAAACCAGTATTTGGTTTGTATTTTATTCAACATCTCAAACTCTAGAGATTTATTTAGTTTTCAAGCATGAGCACAAAAAACAGTAAGACTTCTCTGGCACTTACCACCCTTAACATAACAAGAAATAGAAACGTAGTATCACAAAGTATCACAAAATAATGGTTACATTAAAAAAACCAAGCAAACAAACCACACCAACTTAAGAAAGACCACAGACAGTAATGAATACAAGTGATCTTTAAATTTAAAACCATCCCAAGTAACTTTCTCTTCTCACTTGCAGAGAGTACCTGCAATATACTCAAATATTCCAGTGAATCATTACACAATAGGAGTTCAGTTTTCCTTACCTATGTAATGGCACAATTCCTTCCATATTCTGAGCAGCTTTTCTTTCTATCATCTCCATTTTGTATCTGGACAAGAAAAAAAAAAAATTAAAAATCCTCACCTTTAACACCTTGCTCTTATAAGAGCACTTCAGAAACTAGTTTAATTTTTTTAAAATTCCTAAAAATCATGCTTGTATTTATGTGAGCTTTGAGACTGGTTTAAATTCCTAAGGAGAACACATATTGACATACTTCACTAACAGACCAGTTAGTTAACCTCAGTTCATGGAAAAATTACAGAGATTTTACTGAGCACTACTGAAAAGCAGTATAAAAATAGTGCAATCATCAGGCACTGCCAAAAAGCTGTGGACCAGAAACATGGCTGAGGTATTTTTTTCAGCAAAGAAGACAGGAGGTTTTGAACAAACCTTTTTTTTATAGCACAGACCAAAGTATTTTACCCATTTTCCCCTGCACAATTCAAAAACTGCATTTCATTAAATCTTCATTTGAAGATACCAGGACATGAAAAACGTACATTTCTTTAAATATGGAAGCCTTGCAGAAAAGGCTACCATGTGAAGGCTAAGCACCAGAGTTTCAATTTAATAGTAGTGGAAGCTTGAAGCTCACTGGTGAACAAAAGAAGTCTCAGTCTCTCAGTTTGTCACAAAACTACGTCCAGTGAAGGTGCCTGGTGCTGGCCTCAAGACAACAACAAGAAGTAAATTGGTGTGAGTAAGTTGGTGGGAAGAGAATGGAGGCAGGCTCATTCAGAGCAGTGGGAGAAGTACCTTCTTATTTCACATCTTATTTTAGATTTAAAAAACCAAGCAGAGATTTGACTTGATTTCTAATTGCCTCTTTGAAAGAAAGGCAAATTCAGACACTCACTTATTGTGCTGAAACATTTCACGTGCTACTTTTGCTTCAACATGCAGAGTTTCAAAGGGCAGGTCTTGATAGATTAGTTTTTTGGCATCCCTTGTAAGAGAACAGAAGTTGTCCTAATAAAAGAACAGAAAAACTGTAACCATCTTTTCACAGCTGTAATGAACAGATAATTACAGCAAACACTAAATATTAGTTGAAGCAACAAAGATCATCTACTATACACCCTAAATATGGCAATTTTACTGTAGGAGTGTCTTCCTATTATCATAAGAGCATTACAGATCATCATTGTTTTAATGGACAGACTCAATGCTCAGTCATTTCAATGAGAAATAGGCATTTTTCCATCAAAAACAATATATATTAATTGAACTGCCCATGTAGGCATTTTGATAGTAGGTTTTCCCTACATGGTACTACACACACAGTCTTGCTACTGCTGAATACTCATCTATGACTCTTGTGTCCCAGAGTAGAGTCTTCACTCATAAATAAGGTCTATTATGATAGATCAAAGCAAAAAAAAGGTACTGAATATTTAATAAATAAAAATTTGTCACCTTGGACCAGAATCTGTAGTTCTGTGTAATTCAGATTTAGTCATAAATAAGAAATTGTTATGAGGTGGAATTACATTTAAAATGTCATGTAGAAAATATTTCCAACTAAATTACTTCGGCCACAAGATCATATTGAAGAAAAATTCTGCATTGTACCAATATTGCTTTGCTAGCCATACACCCCTCTGCTGGTTTTTGGGCACAAGAACAACAATGGGCCCCAGATGGGTAAAACATTTGTGATCACAAATGGTTCTGAGATTTAGAGCATTCAGACTATTGGATCTACTGCAGAGCATCAAACATAAGCAAGCTATTAAGGAGAGCTGCAGCTGAATGTGCTCACAGATTTAATTCAACAACAAACTGATTCTGCTGTAAGCCACCAGAAAATATGCTTATACACACTTTTATTTTCAGAAACTCTACTCACACAAAGGCTGTGGCTGCATCTACATTACCAGGCAAGAGCAGCTGAGGAGGAACAGATCTGTACAGTAACAAATAAGGCACTGAGGCCCCAACAGCCCCATCAGCTGTTTCTGAACTTGTACTTCAGACTAGAATTTTCTCTAGCTCCACAGACCTAAAGCCTGAAAGCGTGTGGAAGACAGCATAAAGTTTATTTTTGTCTGAAAGGAAATTGAGAGCACTCTGCCATAGCACCAGTGTGTGGTAAATGCAGAGATCAGCTCCCAAAGACTACTCCAAATGTGCACTAACAAAAAGGGGAAAAAAGCTCTGTAAAAAAGAACAACTGCACAGGACACAGGCTCTGGAACTTTTTGGGTTTATGCCTGAAAAGTGCTTACATTTGTTGGTTTCCAGTCATTCAGTTTATTGTCCAAAACCACATCATAACAGAAGGCTCCAGAGATCACTGCAATTCCAATCCAAAGACAAAAATACTCATGTTTGTAACAAGTGTGCATTTCACAATCATACTATATTCTTACAACAAAATTAATTAGAAGAAAACCAGAATTACTTCTAGAAATTCATCACAAAAGTTTTCATCTGTGATTATACTATAAAATGACAGATTAACTTGTGTTGTTTTAGTTTCATTTCACTGGATGAGAAAGTAATTTAAAATTAGTTTTAATGCAACATCAGTATAATAGAATCCCAATAAAGAGGGGAAAAAATAAACTGCTTCACAAAACTGCATCTAACACTGCAGAAAAAAAACAAAACCACTCACTTTAAAAATACTTCACCGTTTTTCTATTGTGTGCCTCACACAATAAATGTGAGCTATTAAATTATAAAGAGGATTTTTTTGCATAGAGAAATCAGACAATATTAGAGCTGTTTATCCATGACACAAGCAATGCACAAATTTCTGGTAAAGGCAACACAAATTTATCTGACAGTTGTTAGAACACTCTTTTGTGTATATTGAGTTATGGCTATTTAGAAATCAAATCTATGAACACAGTAAGATCACACAATTTCTATACATGCAGTATAATGATATAGCTGAGTATATCCAAGATTATTCCAAATTCTGGTAGAACTGAAATATTTACCTGAATTTATCAATCACAACAAATGCTAAAAAGAGAAGCAGTTATAGCACCCCACATGACCACCAACCAACTTTCTCATATATTAAATGCATAATTATGCAGGTTTTGTTATTGAAACAACCTCTTCTATAGTGCATTTTCTCACTTTTCTAAATCTTAATCAGATCACGAATAAGCAGATGTTGTTACTAAGCTTGTTTGTACCTCAATAATCTTCCAATATGGTGTAGACATTGTCATTTTTAGAAACTCAAATGATGGACAAGGTTATGCAGTTATTAGAGCAAATTCCACAGAAATGTCTCATCACATCTAGGAACCTTGCTCAGGTCCCTTCACAATACAGAGGTTTAGCTTCTAATTTCAGCTACGAGATCCTAAGTGGAAACCCAGTGGCCACACAGACTTCTTTTCTGAATGTTGATAACAACATTGTTTCCAGTGTGGTTATTATAAATTAAAGGCACCTACAACAGCATGTAATACACATATCAATGCTAAGTACCATCAATCATTGGAAGTATTTTTTTTTCTAGGTTTGGTTATTAAGCACTCACTTGAGAAGCAGCAAAAGACAATCAATATAAAACACTTTTATCACCTGGCACTTCTGGAGCTTTAACTAGGTTGACTGAGTATTCATCCTTGAATGCTCTCTTTAGCACACAGCCCATGATCATGGCACAGGAGCGCCAATATGCCTGCAAAGAGAATTTCAGAACAGGAGTTTAATGCCTAGAAGCTAATTATTAAAAAAAAACTCCCAAAACTTAACTGGAAGATGCACAAACCTAGCATTCCACCCTTGGAAGTGTTCAAGGCCAGGCTGGACAGGGCTATGACTGACCTGGTCCAGCGGAAGGCATCCCTGTCCATGGCCAGGGGTGGAACTAGATGAGCTTCTAATGTCCCTTCCAACCCAAGCTTTTCCATGATTCTATGGTTACTTTCTTTAGCATTTAAACTTCTATTCAGAGATGGTTCTCCAAACAGAATCAAATTTTAAAAAATCAAAACTGCACTTAGAATGCAAGCCAGATATAACCCTGAAGATTTTTAAATCTGAAATCCCAGAATAATACACGAGTTGAAAGGAAAGCCAACAATTCACCACCTAGCCCCCACACTAGTTCAGCTAATGATAGCCATGGTGCACCATTAAAGAGACATTAAAAATGTCTGAACTTTAATGACAATTAAGTTCAAGAAAGCAGACAGGCATGGAACTGAAAGGTGCACACAGAATCACGGGGTCATAATTAGGACCACCTGCAATGAGACAAGGTACAGAGAACCAGGGTCACCTACAATGGAACAAGATAATAACTTACCTTGTTTACTTCCTCTGGATCTTCATCTTTGAAGGTAAGGAACTGAATTTCACATGATTTGGTCAGGGGTCTGTACATGTCCCAGACTTCACCATCCACAAAAGCCAGAACAGAGTTCTTGCAATGCCATTCACTTAAATCTAAAAAAAATTTTAAAACCCTAAAGTATTAGTTAGTTATTAACCATATTTTTCAGGAACAGCAGTTGAGACTGCTGCATTTCTAACAACTGCAAGTTTCATATTTGTAAATGACCTGGAAGCATGAACTGTGAAATAAGCCTCCAAAAATGAACTGTTTCTATTTCAACAGGCAGCACTATGTTCTCCATGAGGGGCTAGTTCAGAAGTGCATCCACTTACGCATGGCACAGTTGTAGGGCGTGGACAGAGCCTTGTTCATGACAAACACAGTGCCAGGGTGTGGCTTCCCCGTGTATTTCACTTCAATCTTCTCAATCCGTGGGTGCAGGGACAATTGTCTCTCCTTCTCTTTGGTGAAGAGTTCATTTCGCATCCGAACCACCTCATCGGGCATCAGCCGAGAGACGGCCACTGTGGAGATGTACCCTGGGCACAGACAGGAGAGACACAGAGTAAGCAATAATCCCACAGCAAGCAGAGTGTGAGTCCAGCAGAGCATCCCTGTAATGAGGAAAGCCTGAGGGAACTGGGGCTGTCCAGCCTCAAGAAGGGATGACTGAGAGGGGACCTCATGAGTGTCTGCAGGGAGGGGTCAGAGCAGGGACCAGGCTCTGCTCAGCGGTGCCCAGCAATGGGACAAGAGGCCGCAGTCAGAAAGAGATGCACAGAAGTTCCACACGAACATTAAGAACCTTCCTGTCCAGATCAAGCACTGGAACAGACTGCCCAGAGAGGAGTCTCCCTAACTGGAGATATTTCAGAACCACCTGGATGCAATCCTGTACCATGTACTCTGGGATGATCCTGCTTGAGCAGAGAGGTTGGACCAGATGACCCACTGTAGTCCATTCCAATCTCAACCATTCTGTAACCCATTCTGAGTTTTCAAAGCTTCTTTATAAGGTTTTGGTTTCTACAACACTACAGATCACCCACCCATCTGTCTCAGTATGTACAAGGTAGCACTTTTGCAGCTCCAGCATGCCGGGACCCTGAAGTGCCTGCCCAAAGTCACAACAGGAAACTCTGAGGCAATAAAAGGGGTCAAAAAGATGATGAGGGGGTCTCAAGCACCTCTCCTGTGAGGAGGGATGGCAGGATCTGGGTCTGTTTAGTTTGGAGAGAAGACTGAAAGGGAATTTCATTAACGCACATAAATATCTCAAAGGTGGGTGCCAAGAGGTTGGTGCCAAACTCCTTTCAGTGGTGATCAGCAATAGGATGAGAAGCAACGGCCATAAATTAAAACACAAGAAGTTTCACTGCAACATGAGGAACAAATTCTTCCCATGGAGAGGGGCAGAGCACTGGAATAAGCTGCCCTGGGAGGGTGTGGAGTATCTCCCTGGGGACATTCCAAATGCACCTGAACATGTTCCTGTGTCACCTGCTCGTGGAGTGGATGATCTCCAGAAGTCCCCTCCAGCCCTAACTACCCGGGGTTGTTGATCCTATGCAAAGGTTAATGTCGCTCCCTGGCTGCAAAGGCTCTTCACTCAGACAGGCCAACTCCCCCGCGGCCTAGTAAGGCCCCCTCAGCCCCTGAAAGCATGGCCGCAGAACGAGCCCGAGCTCGGCCCGGCCCGTACTCCCGGCTCCCTCCCGCACTCCCGGCTCCCTGCTGCACTCACGTTTCGCGGCCCGCAGCCCGCGGGCGGCCCACGGCGCGGCCATGCTCCCGCAGCAGCCCCGGTGCCTCCTGCCCGGGCTCCGGCGGCAACAGCGGCCGCAGCCGCGCCGTTCCGCCGCTGTCCCGCCCGCGGCCGCCGGGCGGCGCGAGCCTCCTGCTCCCGGTGCCGCCGCCACAGCTCCGAGCCACAGAGTGTATTGGGGCTTGGAAGGGACCCGCAGCGATCGTCGGACGGCCTCATCCCGGGGGGTGAGAAGATGGCCATGGCCTGGCCATTGGGAGCCCAGAGCCCCCCGTGTGCTGGGCTCACCCAGAGCCCCGTGGGCAGCAGGGCAGGGAGGGGATTCTGCCCCTCTGCCCCCTCTGCTGAGAGCCCACCTGCAGGGCTGCATCCAGCTCTGGGCTCCCAGCACAGCAAGGACAGGGACCTGCTGGAGCCAGCCCAGAGCAGGCACCGAGGGCATCAGAGGGATGGAGCAGCTCTGCTGGGAGCAAAGGCTGAGAGAACTGGGATTGTTCAGCCTGGAACAGAAAAAGCTTTAGGCTGTCCTAGTTGTGGCCTTCCAGCACCTGAAAAAAACTTACAGAAAAGAGAGGCAAGACTGTTTACCAGAGCTTGTAGTGACAGAATGTGAAAAATGTATGTATTTTATGATTGGCTTTTCGCAAATATTAAAAGGAATATTATATGTGCTGTGTTAGAAAGTTATGCTGTATTAATTCTCTTAAGTACTGTGTTAAATACAGTTTTAGGTTATAAAAATTGTTAAAATAGAAACTATGCTATGTAAGATACTTTTTTGTGAGAAAAGGCTCGCAGCGAGATAGCAGCCACAGGACTTAGCAGCCACTTAAATCTTTCAGAGAAAAAGAATTTATTGTTCTCTTATCAGAAGAAACGAACTTCTTCCCACCTCGAAGGCGCTGTTAAGATGCGGAGGAAGAAGCTGACACTGACCAGACAGAATCCTGTATTTGAATGGAATTTATGCATCATGTATGAGGCGTATGAATATGCAACAGGCTATTTTTTTAAGGGTTAATCCTCTGTTAACATGTGTCTTTTTTCAGGCTCGTGCTGCCCAGAAAAAGGTACCCAGACGTCCCTAACTCTTTGTATTTGTTGTCTCATATTGTCCTAATTCAAATTGTCCAAATTATTATTACTCTAATTGTATTACTATTTTTATAACCATTTTATTACTATTAAACTTTTAAAGTTTTAAAAACAAGTGATTGGCGTTTTTAACACAGAAGAAGGAAAAATGGTCTGAATTGAAAGAGAGTAGGTTTAGATTAGATATAAGGAAAACATTCTTCCCTGTGAGGGTGGTGAGGCTTTGGCACAGGTTGCTCAGAGCAGCTGTGGCTGCCTCATCCCTAGAATTGTTCATAGCCAGGTTGGATGGGGCTTGGAACAACCTGGTCTAGTGAATGGTGTCCCTGTCCATGGCAAGGGGTTGAAACCAGATGACCTTCAGGGTCCCTTCCAACCCCAACCATTCTGTGAATCTATGACTGTGATTGCAGTCCAGCTCCTGGCCCTGCACAGGACAACCCCAAGAATCTCATCACCATGTGCCTGAGACAGAGCTTGTGGAGTCAAACATGTTTGCCCAGAGAAATTCTGGAGTCTCCCTCACTGGAGATATTCCACAACCATCTGGACATAATCCTGTGCCATGTGCTCTGGGATGACCCTGCTTAAGCAGGGAGGTTGGACCAGGGAGCGTCTCCCAGTTCCATTCTGTGATTCTGAGAGCATTGTCCAAACACTGTGTGAGCTCTGACAGTCTCGGTGCTGTTTCCAGTGCTCTGGAGAGTAGTTCTGAGCATTAGTCTAGGCAGGAACATCATCCCAGAATGTTGTACCTCCACCACTGCCCACCTGCACTGGGTTTGCTTGGCTAGGCTTTGGGAAACTGAAACTGTGGCAGTTTCAGTTTGAAACCAGGCTGAAACACCAATTTTGTGTAGTGGTTTAGGTTTGCTAATTTGAGATTTTTCAGCCAATGCACTAATTAGTGTGGTGGGTTCAGTGCTGGCCAATCACTAGTGTACCCACTAGAATGTACTTATTCATCTTCTGTGAGGTAGGATTAGAAGAAAGGCAAAGCAGGCTCAAAACTTTAAAAGGGTATAAAGAAAATTTTTTAACAGTAACTAAGAGTGATAAGAATCAGAATAAAACCTTCAGGACACTTCTTCTCCCCCTACAACCCTTTGTTTCCCACTGACAATGTAAAGAGACAAACTTAAAATTTCCAGTCAGTTTACCACCTCTAGAATTGTCTTTCGTCTGTTCACTTAGGGAGAGAAGTCCCTCATGTTAATATTATGGAGCCTTCTCCACAAGAAAACAGTTCTCTCATGGCTCTCAATTTCTATGAATAGCAGTTGCCCAGGGAAATCTGCAATCATGAAATCACTCCCATGTTCCGCAAGTTTTTCCTACAGCTGCATTTATGGGCCATGTCAACTTATGGGGTACTGATTTAAAGGTGAGCTGTTCAAATGCAAAGGTTCTTCTCATTGTCTATCTCTGAAATCATCTTGATCTCTAGGAACAGAGATCTTCTTCTTCTCTCCCTGGGGGTACAGGATCTTCATCACTCTTCTCTCTTTCTATGTTCAAATTTCTTACAGCATCACAGCTACTTTAACATCTACTTACGTTAGCATGGGAGCCTTTGCTTGATATCTACAATTTGAACATTTTCATCTCCCCATACCTTCATGCATTATAGTGAAAAAAGAGTCCTTCTCCATAGCTTTACAAGAAGATTTCAGCTTAAAAGATTGAATGCCAGTAGAAACTAGCTAGTACCTAAGTAGGAAAACCATGGTTCACATCAAAAAAATAAATTTGTGAGATAACTGAAGAGTTCATTTTGGTGCTTTACAGTTTAACTGATGATGGTCTTCATTGCAATCCTCAGCTGGCAATGATTTAAGTAGCCATCATGAAGCCAATGTCAGACAGTGACACTGAATTAGTGTCATTAAGAGCTAAAGAATGTAATTAAACTCAGCATTAAAAAAATAAAAGACATGGCATTTTCCACAGTGGAAACACATCTGTGGAGCAGTGGGACAGCTGGGTCCCCTTGGTTTGGTGCCTGGCACTGGCTTCCCTCTTTACCTGGGCTCTCATCCATAAAACCAGGGGTGTGAGTCAGGTGGCTATCTGTGCCCTTGGTTACATTATTTGATAGGTTAAGAATTTCAGCAACTCAATCATCCTGCTTCCTCATTTTTAAAATGAGTGAAATACAAGTTACATAGAATAATGCAAATATTTGTGTAATTACACTTCAACTACAGCATTTCTCCTATAACTCAAGGAATCAGATGCAGTCAATGATCACATGACAAATCATTTTGGTTTAAATGGTTAAAAAACCATAAGCAAAACAAGGTTACTAGAGTAGGGTATAAAAAGAACGCTTTTATTCTATAAGTAAATAATTCAGAATGTTCAGAGAATGAGAGACAGAACCAACCCTGTTCTGTCACTCTGAGGGAGTATTGAACAACAGGAGTAAAGTCCTACTTAATACCACACACTTTATCATACATATCTATATTAAACTGGCACTTCCTAATCTCTAAACCTTATTTTGTACAAGTATTTACAACTTTTTATTCAGCTGAATCTTCAGAAAAAATGATGGTGGGGTATCTGCTCTGTTCTTTTACTTGTTTGGTGTAGTTCTGGAAGCACAATATAGATTTTAAAAAATCTGGGATTGGTAACACACTGAAGACTTTAGAGAGGAGCAAGGTTATCTGCCTTTTGGTAACCCTCCACCAACAGAATGACAGTGCAAAGCTGTACCACCCAGAGAAAATCAAAATATGTCCAAAAGTGCTGGAAATTTCACCCAGGGTTCATTGAGAGCAGCTTTGTGTAGAAGGACTTAGGGGTGATGGTTGATGAAAAACTGAACATGAGCCAGCAGTGAGTGCTCATAGCCCAGAAAGCCAATTGTGTCCTGGGCTGCATCCAAAGGAGCCTGGGCAGCCCACCCTCACTGCCTAAAGAAAAACAGAGAGATCACTTAACAGAACTGTCCAAGAATAATTACATTCTACCAGTCTTCATAAAGCCCTTTAACTTCCAGGAAAACCCTGTCTATTATTTTATAATGGTCAGAAAATATGAGGTTTCCCTCTGAAGCAGCAGGAGTCCTATAATTGCTCTTAGGCCATGGTATGTGACCCAACAGAAGTGTGTAAGCTGCAAACCATGACTGTTTATCACCCTCATAGTCCCAGAGCCAGCTCTGAGCTCACTTAAAGATTGCTTCAAAAGTAAAATTGGCTTAAAAACTCCTGAGCCTCCCTTTGCCATTCTTGGTTGTTTCTCTCTGCTCATCCTCTTGGTAAGCAACTGTAGCAGCACTGTATGAGGCACTGAATGCAAGGTCACTGAAGTGATACAATTTGCAGGATGAGTACTGCTGAGAGATAATGTTTTATTCATATGATTAACATTATTTCTTATACTAATTTTCATGCACAAGCAAAGTGAGAGCAGTAATCCATGGCCTGAAGTACCCACAGCCTTGTAAGACAACATGCAGTGTAACTACATCTTAAGAGGTCTACACCACAGAATTATAGAATCATGGAATCATTGAAGTTGGAAAAGACCTCCAAGACTATCAAGTCCAATCTTTAACTGAATACAACCACCATCTACTAAACTGTATGACAAAGTACCACATCTGCTTATTTTCTGAGGACTTCCACCACTTTCCTGTGCAGCCTGTTTCAATGCTTTACAACCCTTTCTGTGACAAAATTTTTCCTAATATCCAACTTGAGCCTCCCCTGGCATGACTTAAGACCATTTTCTCCTGTTCTATCACTTGTTACTTGGGAGTAGAGACCAGCCTGGCTACACCATCCTGGGAGGTAGTTGTAGAGAATTACAAGATCTCCCCTCAGCCTTCTTTTCTCCAGGCCAAACAACTCCAGGTTCCTCAGCTGCTCCTCATCAGACTTGAACTCCAGATCCTAACCGAGCTTCATTGCCCTTCTGGACATGGTCCAGCACATCAATGTC